AAAATTACCGATAGCCCCCTGAGGTTTGAGAAATTACAGATACCCCCCTAAAGTACTATTTGCATAACAAATTAGGGGACAAATTGTTATGAAAATATAAACCTCATGGTGCAATTTGTTATGAAAATATAAACTTCAAGGGGGTATCTGTAATTTTCAAAATCTCAGGGGGATATCTGTAATTTAGCTAAATCTCGAAGGAGGTATATGTGATTTGCCCTTTTTTAAAACAATATTCCCCACTCTCTCCTTTCATTGTAGTTTTTTTTTTATTTCTTTATTTTTTCAAATCCCACATTTTCCTTTTTGTTTTTAACCTTTTCTCTTCAAAATAAAATAAAAAAAAAAATCGGATGGCTAGTTTGGCCAGACAATCTGTGACGAAAGGTGTTTTTTTTTATTATGATATATTACCCAACCTATTATTCTCCACCCAACCTATATCTACTGATTCATCCTCCACCCACCCATAAACCATTATCATCATCATTCCACCAACAATATAAAAACAAACACAAAACACACTCGTTTTCATTCCAAAAACATCAAACTTGTCATTTATTCATGACGGGATCCACCCCGATCAAAATTCTACACCAACACACACACATACAAAAAAAAAAAAAAAAAACAAAACAAAACAACAATCAAACAACCACACATTTTTTCCCTTTCTCTACTCTGCTGCTGTTCTCTTCCTCTTGCCTCCGTCTTGGGCGTCTCTTGACGGCCTTGCCTTTGTGCTTCCTAGTCCACCGAGCACATTGTCTCCCAGCTGCTCCTCCAACGCAGCATATGGCGAACCTCTAAATCGAAACATGACAGTGGCCTTCCGTTTTAGCTCATTGTTTTCCACATTCAGTGCGCATATATCTGCTCGCGCATCCTTATATATGCGCTGGAGCAACGCGAGTTGGGCATTTAACTAGTGCACCTCACTAGTTCTATTCTGCAGTCGGTGCGACAACTTGGAGACCGTAGTCACTGTCTCCAAGCACGACTTCAGCGTAAAATGGTTGACTTCAATATTCGTTTGCATTGCCATTATTTGCTCCACTGCCAGTATCGGAAAGTTCAACGGAGCAAAGGCAGCTGCACTCGGTTCAGGAGCGCTTGGTTACGCTTCAAGGACGACAAAACCATTTATCTCTATTGTGGACTCATTCAGGTCTAGAAAAAGAGTGAGCAGACCATGGAAAGAAGAGGCCATGTTATGTTAGGGGTTGTAGAGTGTTTCAGGGAATGTCAGAAAGGGTTTGCAGCTATAAGAGAACGAAGAGATTTCAGAATGGTTTGTTTTGCACTGCCTTTATCCAGCCTTAGCCTCGATTTAAATAGAGAGCGAAGAGACGAAGACGACAAACGGGAGCGAGAGCTACGTGAATCGCGTGACACTCGAAGCCACAGTGTCATGCGTGACTTTTGATGTCTTGGGCATGACTTTTGAGGGTGCGACTTTTGAGGGCGCGATATATATATACATGTATATCTTTGGGCTGCTTATATACACGAGCTATACAGTGTCTTCTATAACGGTCCGACACGACCACACAGTGTCTTCTATAACGGTCCGACATGACTACACAGTGTCTTCAACAACGGTACAACACAACCATACAGTGTTTTCTCCAACGGTCCGCCACGACCACATAGTGTCTTCTACAACGGTTCGACACGATCATACAGTGTCTTCTACAGTGGTTCGATACGACCATACAGTGTCTTCTCCAACGGTCTGATACGACTCTACAGTGTCTTCTATAGACAGTGTCTGCTACAACAGTCCGACACGACCATACAGTGTCTTCTCTAACGGTCCGACACGACCATATAATGTCTTCTACACATAGTGTTTTCTATCCTATTTTATTTTATTTTTAGTTTATTTTCTCGTTTTGTTACTCTCTCCAAACTCAAGTTGGTTTGTGCCTATCCTCCTTGAGTTTGAGGGGGGCTGTTAATGTATACTCTACCTACTCCACCTACTATATACTCCACCTACTCCACTAGATCCACATCTCCCATATAAAGGAGACCAACCATGTACATAAGGTATAATATCAATATATACAACATTCAATACATACAATTTATTCTCTCTCTTTCTCTATACATTACTTTAACAACACCTACCAAGACTTCTCTGAAATTGGTTGTGTTCGTTACGTTCTGCGTATTTCTCAGAATTACCCAAAATGACTCATCGGCAATAGAGAAGATGGTCTAATTCGAGTATCGCAACATGCACTCATCGTACCACATCATGGCAACCTTGGACTTAGGACAACCACTATAAGAAATTAGTGATTTAGAGACTAATATTTAGAGACCAATTAAATTTAATCTTAAAAAACTATTATTTAAGGACAAAAATAAATTTTAAGCAAAAATTATACAAACACACTATATTCCTTTCTAATAAGCTAAAAAAAAATTATTTAAAAACTTTTAGCGACAAAAAAAAGTTGAAGCTTATGTTAATTTTTACACTTAACCGCGACCCTGTTAGGTAGGGCTTATTTCCAGTTTATTTCAGCTTTTAGCTTAATTTAAGCTATTTTGATGTGCTTGGTTCAGCTTAACAGTACATCTTATAGCTTTTTGTAAGTCAAAAATCAACTTATTCTTTGAGTGGGAGAGGAAAAACTTAATTTATAAGTCAAAAATCAATTTATGTTCACAATTATAAGTTATAAGCTGTTATACTATAAGTTATAATTACTTTCATGCTCTAGTTAACGAGTTCAGATCCTCTCCTTGAGGACCCTCCTCCATCCCCTGCTTGCAACGGCTCAGATGAGTCGTTGGTCATCCAACGGCTGAGATTATAAAAAAAAAAAAAATCAAAATGAAATTTTTTCGAGTTCCCGCCCAAACAAAACAACAACACAACTCAGAGACATTCACTCTCACTCTCACACAGCACTCTCACTCTCACACAGCACTCTCCTCCGTCGAACCCATCCTCACTGGCGAACCCATTCTCACCGACGGCGAACTCCACCGCTCCAGCCTCTACGCTTCGTGAACTCCACCGCGACGACCACCATTGGTTGAGCAAAGATCTCTTCTTCACGAACCAGGTTGGTCTTCGAACGTCTGAAATGAAGAAGTTAGGAGTCTGAAAAAATGTAGGGCTTTTAGTGTTGGGGAAAACTTCCATGCCTAATTATGTATTGGGGAAAACTGTAAGTGAAACTGGACTTCCGAACATCCATGGAAAGGAACAAGGGCTTGGATGTGGCAAGATTAACTGTGCTTCACAATGATCAGGGTCGTGTTTTGGATGGGGTTTCTAGATGCATTTCCATGTCTTCCACACTCGAAGGGGAAGTCCATGCTATCTGGCTTGCTTGCTTTCTTACTGATGTTCATAATCTACAGCAGGTCGAGATCGAAAATGACATCAGAACTATGATCTTTCTCTCTGTTTCGGAGAAAGTCCCACCATGGGAAGTGGGTGTTTTGCTGAGGGATATCAAAACCATGGCTTCTCGTCGCAATTTCTCTTTTCGATGGAGCCCTCGTCACACAAAGAAAGTGGCACATTGGTTGGGCAAAGCTGCTTTAAGTGGAGATTTAGGTTCCTATTGGGTTAATCCACCAGCACCTTTAGCTGCTTTCCTTTGATTCTTCCTCTTTGTAAGCCTTAGGGCGTTTTTACCAGTTCAAAAAAAATTTTAAAAAAAAGATACGAGGACTTGATTGGCATTTACATTGATCTTTTTTTTATCAGAAGGTCAGTCCTTCGTATTAATCTTCTTGTTTGTAATTTGATTTCCATCAATAATAGAAAATAAAATCATTTTTGGGTACTCCTCACTCTAGCCTCTACGCTTCGTGAACTCCACCGCGACGACCACCATTGGTTGAGCAAAGATCTCTTCTTCACGAACCAGGTTGGTCTTCGAACGTCTGAAATGAAGAAGTTAGGAGTCTGAAAAAATGTAGGGCTTTTAGTGTTGGGGAAAACTTCCATGCCTAATTATGTATTGGGGAAAACTGTAAGTGAAACTGGACTTTCGAACATCCACGGAAAGGAACAAGGGCTTGGATGTGGCAAGATTAACTGTGCTTCACAATGATCAGGGTCGTGTTTTGGATGGGGTTTCTAGATGCATTTCCATGTCTTCCACACTCGAAGGGGAAGTCCATGCTATCTGGCTTGCTTGCTTTCTTGCTAATGTTCATAATCTACAGCAGGTCGAGATCGAAAATGACAACAGAACTATGATCTTTCTCTCTGTTTCGGAGAAAGTCCCTCCATGGAAAGTGGGTGTTTTGCTGAGGGATATCAAAACCATGGCTTCTCGTCGCAATTTCTCTTTTCGATGGAGCCCTCGTCACACAAAGAAAGTGGCACATTGGTTAGGCAAAGCTGCTTTAAGTGGAGATTTAGGTTCCTATTGGGTTAATCCACCAGCACCTTTAGCTGCTTTCCTTTGATTCTTCCTCTTTGTCAGCCTTAGGGCGTTTTTACCAGTTCAAAAAAAATTTTAAAAAAAAGATACGAGGACTTGATTGGCATTTACATTGATCTTTTTTTTATCAGAAGGTCAGTCCTTCGTATTAATCTTCTTGTTTGTAATTTGATTTCCATCAATAATATAAAATAAAATCATTTTTGGGTACTCCTCAGATGACATAGAGCAAATGCGTCTTAACTCATTCCTAAAACCTGTAATGTCCCCAGTTTTGAGTTTCCTATACTCTTGGATTTTTTTGCTTAACCATCCTACATTCTTTTTTCAAAAATAAAAATAAAAAATTGTGTAGCGTCTTTGTATTTAAACAATATTGAAGATGCTGTTAAAACCCTCTCTTGCAAGCACGATCAATCATTTAATCAGATATCAGCAGATTGTTCTGTTAAAATTAATGTATATTATTGATTGATATCTTTCTTGTTGATTTATATTACAATTGGTGAGGGGTGCATTATATAGGAGAGATATAGGTGTAGTAGGTGAAGTGGTGGTTGGTGAGGATATATTTTAACATGTTCTTCAATAAAATGAACTTCTCATATAATTAAAACTTCATTCTTTGCCCATTCTGTTCAATCCCAATACAAATCCTCATACAAGCCTAACAAATGCGAGCACGTTGCATATTTATATTATTGGTAGTAATGGTATTAACACGAGCAAGACAAATTATGATATATTACAAATTCCTTGATAGAAAATTTAATATAGTATCCTCAAAATCCAAGCAGGGCATTAAAATCGGCATCAACCACCACCATATTTATGATCCATCCATGAAAACAGCACCATGTCCACTAGCTTTCATGAACTTCTTCAACAGAAGAACAATAATAGCAATGGTAAGTCCAACAGCAGCCCAAGTGAACAAACGATCATCAGCCGGTTTCTGAACCCTCGGTCCCGACCTCTGCAGGAGCTGTTCACTTGTGGGTCCAGCACGAACCTGTCTAGATACCCCCACACCCTCAGGTCTGGGATTCCCGTTCAAAGAAGCTTCATGTGGTTCTTCAACAATCCTATCACCCACAGCTGGATTTGTAAGCCCTTCCCCGGGAGTTACTGCACCAGCGGCATCTTCAGAACTCTGGTTAGCTTCATCCTCTTTATCAGTAGAATGTTGGTGGGCATGAATGCAATTAGAGCAACTAAAGCAGTCCGAAATGCAAACAGCAATATGTATCCACAATGAATAAAAGTTATAGCATGAAATATAACATTTATCTACAGGCATGTGATATTAATAGATATTTCACTTTGATTCTCATGGTAGTATGCAAATTTATTAATTTCAGCATACACCAAATCATTAACATTATTCACTGCATCAATTATGCCATGGGAATCCTTAGGCATGAGGAGATGAATACATCAGTCATAGCATGCAAAGCATTTGCAAACAAGCATGCATTACATACCTAATTGACTTAATTCTTAGTTTTCATACTCAACTCTCAGTCATGGTCGTAGAAAAAAAAATATGCAAAATTTCCAGTGTATGATCTTGGGAATTCAGCCGCCAAATAACTATATTAGCCTTGGAATCTGACTTCTCCCTCATCTCATAATATATTCCAAACTTTCCAAGCATGTCATTTGCATCAATTTTCACATCAAATTGGGTATTTATTTGTGACAATAACAGGGTGCCAGTTCTGGATGATCATGTCACAATAAATACATAATTTTGATTGACTTGATATAGTAAGAATAATGCATTTTCCTATAAATTTTGAGGCCAAAAAAATTTAAGCACGAAATTAAGGTTGCAAAAGCTAAATCAAAAATTAGGTCAACTAACAAAATTGGAAAATACCTATCTCCCAAAACTCATATCCAAACATAAAGATATCAGATTCATATAAATTGTCTATCAGAGGTTCACAAAGAACAAATTTATTTATTTATTTTTTAAATGCATACATCAACATAGAATTAATCGAAATTGAATGATCACACAATGGTGATTTCTACATCAAAATCCAACCCAATATTTGCATAATTTGATGACGATCAATCAAAAACAAACAAACAAAAGTGAAATTAAAGGATGATAATGACAGATCTTCAATTAAAATCCCACAAAACAAGCTCAATAAAATTCGAAAAACAAAAAAATTGAACCTCGAGAGGGAGGCTCATGAAATCATCGGAAGGGTTGGATTGCAAGTCCTTGACCTCTTGGAGAATCCTTTTCACCGCAGGGTTCTTAAGATGGAAGGAGGGCAAACCGATGGGTTCGATTTGAGGAGTGCTGTAGAGAGGGTCTGCCGCTGCTGAACGGTTCGGTGAGGTTGTATCGACAGTGGGTCGCCGTCGGTGAGGATGGGTTCACCGATGAGGATGGGTTCGACGGAGAAGAGTGCTGTGTGAGAGTGAGTGTGAATGTCTCTGAGCTGTGTTGTTGTTTTGTTTGGGCGGGAACTCGAAAAAATTTCATTTTTGATTTTTTTTTTTTTTTTCTTTTTTATAATCTCAGCTGTTGAATGATCAACGGTTCAGATGAGCCGTTGCAAGCAGGGGAGGGAGGAGGGTCCTCAAGGAGAGGATCTGAACTCCTAGTTAACGGGGTCCGCGTGTGTGGGGTAGGTAAAAGCTGGAGACCAATTTATTTGGTTGCTAAAGGTTGAACAGACCAAATAAAATCATCCTCTAGCGCGTCTCTACAATCGATCTCAGCTTCGTCTTCAGCTTCGATCGATGTTCAGCTTCAATCCTCACACCAGAATCGAATTTCACCTCATATCAGAATGGATCTTTGTACTGATCTTCAGCTTCAATCGACCTTCACCTTTCAGGATCAATCGATCCCAACCAGATTGAATCGATCGATCGATTGATCGATCTCTGTACTGAACCCAACCAGACCGTCACCTTTCAGAATCGATCGACCTTATACCAGACTCCTCTTGCCCTAACTTGTCAACTCTGTTCTCTCCTCCTCTTGCCCTAACTTGTCATGATCGATCTCATTTTCATGGCTCCATTCCGAAGGTAAATCAATGATTTTCACACAATTTTTTGAGATTTTCTATAATTTTGAGATCTTCAATCATTTATTCTTCATCCTCTTCAATTTTTTTGCAGATATATATAAGTTTGAGTGAATCGATTTGGTTTCTAACAGAGATCGTAGCAATTTGTTGTGTTTTCAATCTCTCTCTCTCTCTCTCTCTCTCTCTTCACATACACAACATATATACATGTACATATCTATATATATACTCCTTTGTATTCATCTGCATTCATTCAAATTGCTTTTGATAGTTACTTGTTTAATACTCATTTGACAATAAAAAACATAAAAATAAAAAACCGTGCACTTGTTGACCTCTCATATTGTAGTCAATTGTAGTCTTATGTAGTTTTTTGAAATTTTTATGAATGTTTTTTAATTGTTTGACTCTAAATTCATTCCACAGTGGTTATGTCTTGTTGCGAAATTTTTATTTTATTGAGAGTGTCTTCTTCGTCTATATATCTATATCTCTCTATATATATGTATAACACTATTTTCTAAAGCTGGAGACAGTTAATTGAATGTTTGTTTTGTGACTCGAGATTTTTATGCTTTTGGCACCATTAAATGATATAAATGTTAATTTTTTAATTTTTTTTTTTGTTTTTTTACAAAATATCAGTTTTTCAAACAACCAGCTGAAGAAAAACAGTTATTGTGTCTGCCTAGCATTGTGGTGGTCTGAAAGTAGTCTTGATGGCATTCTAGTGGAAGTTGTAGTGTGATGGTGATGGTATCAATGGTGATAGAACTAGAAATCTTATTGAAACTACAATTGGACAAGATTAACCTATAGCAGGGCATCCTGAATGAAAGTAAGTTTGGATTCACATGTTTAAAGCAAGGGCCTATGAATCTGCGTTTTATATACACACATATCTGGGATTATATACTAGTTTGATCACCACTATGCTATGAAAATTCAACATTAGCTGGTTTCTTTGCTCTTCAAATCTTTCTACTTTTGAAGAGATTCAAAAATTGGGTTTTAAAAGAAAAGCATTTCACACCATTTCTCTCATCTTTTAATTATCCAAACAGGTAATTAGGGGCAAGAGATTTCTATTTATTTTCTTTTCTTTCCAAATCACCTAATCTAAGCGGGTGGCTAATGAAAATTTCCAAAATGTCCGTTAGACAATCATTGGGAGGGTTTGGGATTTAATCCTCTTCAAACCTTAAGAAGAACAATTTATTCTTTTGCTTAGATACACGTTACGAAGAATAAGTTGTCAAACACTTTTCAAATTAACAGTATATTCTAAAATCTTATTTTGTATTAGTCCCATAACTATTTATCATATTCACCAGAAGGCAAACTCGTGCAGAATCATTGGCAACCCATTTCAAGCAGCTCCTCCAGAGGCTGACTAACTTTGAGTTCTATGGATCCTTTTTTTAAATTTTTTTATTTTATTTAATATAATATATAAACAATTTACTTTACTTTCAAGTTTGAATCAAATAGTTCATTATATTTCTGGATTTGTTATTAATTCAATTTTTAACTTTGCCACAGGATAATATGGAGTACAGGTTCACGAGTGTATAAGAGATTCACCTTGCCCTCCTCAGTGATTATGGTACTTCTAAGTAAACTAAAGTTTCTTACCTCTTTTCCATTCATAATAAAACTTCGTAGATGATGGCATACCCTGACATTTTTGCTTCTTTATAGATTTTTTTAATCTCATATAAAAGTTTTGGCTACATTACAGAACTGTGACAGTGTAATTATTAGCTGTCTGGGTTAATCTTTTCCCTTTCTAACATCTACATATTCCCGTTCAAAGAAGCTTCATGTGGTTCTTCAACAATCCTATCACCCACAGCTGGATTTGTAAGCCCTTCCCCGGGAGTTACTGCACCAGCGGCATCTTCAGAACTCTGGTTAGCTTCATCCTCTTTATCAGTAGAATGTTGGTGGGCATGAATGCAATTAGAGCAACTAAAGCAGTCCGAAATGCAAACAGCAATATGCATCCACAATGAATAAAAGTTATAGCATGAAATATAACATTTATCTACAGGCATGTGATATTAATAGATATTTCACTCTGATTCTCATGGTAGTATGCAAATTTATTAATTTTCAGCATACACCAAATCATTAACATTATTCACTGCATCAATTATGCCATGGGAATCCTTAGGCATGAGGAGATGAATACATCAGTCGTAGCATGCAAAGCATTTGCAAACAAGCATGCATTACATACCTAATTGACTTAATTCTTAGTTTTCATACTCAACTCTCAGTCATGGTCGCAGAAAAAAAAAAAATGCAAAATTTCCAGTGTATGATCTTGGGAATTCAGTAGCCAAATAACTATATTAGCCTTGGAATCTGATTTCTCCCTCATCTCATAATATATTCCAAACTTTCCAAGCATGTCATTTGCATCAATTTTCACATCAAATTGGGTATTTATTTGTGACAATAACAGGGTGCTAGTTCTGGACGATCATGTCACAATAAATACATAATTTTGATTGACTTGCTATAGTAAGAATAATGCATTTTCCTATAAATTTTGAGGCCAAAAAAATTTAAGCACGAAATTAAGGTTGCAAAAGCTAAATCAAAAATTAGGTCAACTAACAAAATTGGAAAATACCTATCTCCCAAAATTCATATCCAAACATAGATATCAGATTCATATAAATTGTCTATCAGAGGTTCACAAAGAACAAATTTTTTTATTTATTTTTTAAATGCATACATCAACATAGAATTAATCGAAATTGAATGATCACACAATGGTGATTTCTACATCAAAATCCAACCCAATATTTGCATAATTTGATGACGATCAATCAAAAACAAACAAACAAAAGTGAAATTAAAGGATGATAATAACAGATCTTCAATTAAAATCCCACAAAACAAGCTCCATAAAATTTGAAAAACAAAAAAATTGAACCTCGAGAGGGAGGCTCATGAAATCATCGGAAGGGTTGGATTGCATCTTCTTGACCTCTTGGAGAATCCTCTTCACCGCAGGGTTCTTAAGATGGAGAGAGGGCAAACCGATGGGTTCGATTTGAGGAGTGCTGTAGAGAGGGTCTGCCGCTGCTGAACGGTTCGGTGAGGTTGTATCGACAGTGGGTCGCCGTCGGTGAGGATGGAGTTCGCCGTCAGTGAGGATGGGTTCGCCGGAGGAGAGTGTTGTGTGAGAGTGAGAGTGAGAGTGAATGTCTCTGAGCTGTGTTGTTGCTTTGTTTGGGCGGGAACTCGAAAAAATTTCATTTTTGATTTTTTTTTTTAATCTCAACTGTTGGATGACCAACGGCCCATCTGAACCGTTGCAAGCAGGGGATAGAGGAGGGTCCTCAAGGAGAGGATCTAAACTCCTAGTTAACGGGGTCCGCGTGTGTGGGGTAGGTAAAAGCTGGAGACCAATTTATTTGGTTGCTAAAGGTTGAACAGATCAAATAAAATCGTCCTCTAGTAACCTAGGGGTGAGTGGCAACTTGGTAAGGGCCTGGGGTTTAAGCCCCAAGGTCCTGGGTTCAACTCCCCTCTGGGCCAATCTCTTGGGCGTAGCACAGTTGGTTAGGAGGTTGACCTCAAGGATATCTTATCAGCTACTTGGCGTGAGTTTAATTCTCCCTCGCTGTGCGAGTCTTGACTTAAGCGGAGCTTCCCTTCCTCGCTGTGCGAGTCTTGACTTAAGCGGAGCTTCCCTTAGGAGGTCGAAACAAACTTCCAAGTTATAGTCTCTTACTCGGAACGGACAACAGGACACCCTACCTTGGACCTGCAGGAGAGTGGGGGGATTTTCCTGTAATAAAAAAAAAAAAAAAAAAAATCATCCTCTAGCGCGTCTTTACAATCGATCTCAGCTTCGTCTTCAGCTTCGATCGATGTTCAGCTTCGATCGATGTTCAGAATCGATTTTCACCTCATGTCAGAATGGATCTTTGTACTGATCTTCAGCTTCAATCGACCTTCACCTTTCAGGATCGATCGATCCCAACCAGATTGAATCGATCGATCGATTGATCGATCTCTCTACTGAACCCAACCAGACCGTCACCTTTCAGAATCGATCGACCTTATACCAGACTCCTCTTGCCCTAACTTGTCAACTCTGTTCTCTCCTCCTCTTGCCCTAACCTGTCATGATCGATCTCATTTTCATGGCTCCAATCCGAAGGTAAATCAATGATTTTCACACACAATTTTTTGAGATTTTCTATCATTTTTTTTTAGCTTCACACACACACACACACACACACACACACACACACACACATATATATATATGCACATATTCTGAGATCTTCAATCATTTATTCTTCATCCTCTTCAATTTTTTTGCAGATATATATAAGTTTGAGTGAATCGATTTGGTTTCTAACAGAGATCGTAGCAATTTGTTGTGTTTTCAATCTCTCTCTCTCTCTCTCTCTCTCTCTCTCTCTCTCTCTTCACATACACAACATATATACATGTACATACCTATATATATACTCCTTTGTATTCATTTGTATTCATCTGTATTCATTCAAATTGCTTTTGAAAGTTACTTGTTTAATACTCATTTGACAATAAAAAACATAAAAATAAAAAACCGTGCACTTGTTGGCCTCTCATATTGTAGTCAATCGTAGTCTTATGTAGTTTTTTGAAATTTTTATGAATGTTTTTTAATTGTTTGACTCTAAATTCATTCCACAGTGGTTATGGCTTGTTGCGAAATTTTTATTTTATTGAGAGTGTCTTCTTCGTCTATATATCTATATCTCTCTATATATATGTATAACACTATTTTCTAAAGCTGGAGACGGTTAATTGAATGTTTGTTTGAATGTTTGTTTTGTGACTCGAGATTTTTATGCTTTTGGCACCATTAAATGATATAAATGTTAATTTTTTAATTTTTTTTTTTTTGTTTTTTTTACAAAATATCAGTTTTTCAAACAACCAGCTGAAGAAAAACAGTTATTGTGTCTGCCTAGCATTGTGGTGGTCTGAAAGTAGTCTGGATGGCATTCTAGTGGAAGTTGTAGTGTGATGGTGATGGTATCAATGGTGATAGAACTAGAAATCTTATTGAAACTACAATTGGACAAGATTAACCTATAGCAGTGCATCCTGAATGAAAGTAAGTTTGGATTCACATGTTTAAAGCAAGGGCCTATGAATCTGCGTTTTATGTACACACATATCTGGGATTATATACTAGTTTGATCACCACTATGCTATGAAAATTCAACATTAGCTGGTTTCTTTGCTCTTCAAATCTTTCTACTTTTGAAGAGATTCAAAAATTGGGTTTTAAAAGAAAAGCATTTCACACCATTTCTCTCATCTTTTAATTATCCAAACAGGTAATTAGGGGCAAGAGATTTCTATTTATTTTCTTTTCTTTCCAAATCACCTAATCTAAGCGGGTGGCTAATGAAAATTTCCAAAATGTCCGCTAGACAATCATTGGGAGGGTTTGGGATTTAATCCTCTTCAAACCTTAAGAAGAACAATTTATTCGTTTGCTTAGATACACGTTACAAAGAATAAGTTGTCAAACACTTTTCAAATTAACAGTATATTCTAAAATCTTATTTTGTATTAGTCCCATAACTATTTATCATATTCACCAGAAGGCAAACTCGTGCAGAATCATTGGCAACCCATTTCAAGCAGCTCCTCCAGAGGCTGACTAACTTTGAGTTCTATGGATCCTTTTTTTAAATTTTTTTATTTTATTTAATATAATATATAAACAATTTACTTTACTTTCAAGTTTGAATCAAATAGTTCATTATATTTCTGGATTTGTTATTAATTCAATTTTTAACTTTGCCACAGGATAATATGGAGTACAGGTTCACGAGTGTATAAGAGTTTCACCTTGCCCTCCTCAGTGATTATGGTACTTCTAAGTAAACTAAAGTTTCTTACCTCTTTTCCTTTCATAATAAAACTTGGTAGATGATGGCATACACTGACATTTTTGCTTCTTTATAGATTTTTTTAATCTCATATAAAAGTTTTGGCTACATTACAGAACTGTGACAGTGTAATTATTAGCTGTCTGGGTTAATCTTTTCCCTTTCTAACATCTACATCTCTTTGTACTTTACGTCAAGTGTGTGGAGTCATTTTTCCAGTCCTTTCCACTTCTTGTTCAGTTAAGCTTCCAAATTAACAGGAGAAAAAGTTGTAATACTGAATGGAATGACTGTTATGTTATTGCTGCAAACAAAATTGCTTTTGGGAGTATGGTTATTTCAGTTTTGAAGTCACCAAACAGTTTGGTTTTTGTATGGAAGAGTGAGATGTGTGATTACTTTTGTGAGTTTATCTCTTCACGATCTTATGGGTGATTTAATTCTAGTCAAGTCTGGGGCTGGGGTGCAGCAGTGCTTGTCTTTCAAAGATGCAGAGGTCTGTGACTTGAATTGGATGTATTTGTCGTAGAATGTAATTATACAGCATGTCTCTGTTAAAAAAACTTGCTTAATTATCCTCATCAATTTGTCTATCTTATATGTTATACTTGCTTTTAAATCATTGTTTGATTTTACCAAGTTCAATCATTTTCACAAATATTTTAATTCAAATTATAGGCATGCTGGTGTCATATGGGTGATATGTCTGAGGCATCACTTTGTGTTCTACAAAGTGATAGTTTGACAATCTATAAGACAACAGGTGAGTAGTTCATTAACTCTTCTTACATTTTTTTTCCCCTTCACAATTTTCATTTTATGTCAAAATTTGAAATATGATATTTACTTGTTCTTCTATTTCCTTTTCTTTTTTAAATATTATTTTGTAATTTTTATGCAGTTGGACATTTTTCATGTTTATAATTTTGTTTTGACATTAAATGACTTAGCCACTGATTTTCATTTACACCTGAAAATTTGATACCCTTTGGTGATATGCTCTCCTGTAAGTACTTTTCATGATGTCAGTATCAATATAAGGTTTGGATGGGTTACATGGGTTTCCATTTTTGTAGCTCTGCAGGATACATATGTCCAGAGTGGGTGCGAGTGCCAAAGTGAGAGTGACAATATGAAAAATCTCATGTTTCCAGGCATGTCTGAAGAGTTAATGCATGTGTAGTATATATGTATTTTTGGACATTGGAAGAGGTTAATTAGAAACTGTCACAAAGCCTTACAAAACAATAGGATGATTGATCAGTTGTTCTTTCTCAAGAAAAGTGACCTTGTGCCAATTCTCACTCCAGCAAAACAAGTAATCTTTTGGGCAACAGTTGATATCCTTGCCATACGGTGGGGTAGGTTCTTAAAATGTATTCCTTTGCTAGGTTTTGGAGGACCATAAACGTCATTATTGCCTTGATATTAGCTGATTTAGTATGCAATCAGTTTCATGTCTTCTGTGTTGATAGAGTTCAGTTTGATCATCATTTGACTCTGTTTCTCCTTTTTATTAATCTATTTAAGCAATAAATTGTTGTCTGTTCTCTATCTTGCAGCAGGCAAGTCCCATCCGAGGGACGTAAACTGAAACCTATAACACATTCATTTGTTGTGCCCTCTCATACCCTCTCATAGGGAATTAGCCACCTGGTACGTACTGAAAACTTGTTTCCAGTAATTAATCTTGTTTCTATATGAATCTTATTTTTGGCTAAATGAGAACCTTTCTAGTTCAAGGTATTAAAATGTTTTCCTTGGCTTAATCTGAATATTGAATTCTCTTCTTCTTTTGGACTTTTACGGCCAAAGTATTTATGCAACTGTCAATTATTTTTGTTTAGATCCATGTCAATTCTGTTTTCTTGCAGCTTTTAACCACCAATCATTGAATTTGCATTTTTTTCTGGTGCAGGCTAGTCAAGGAAGGGTTGCTGATTGAAATATTAGGAAATATGCTGTGAAAGTTTTACCTGTGAGTGTTTTTGAAGCTTAATTATAATTTGATTGTATCAACTTAATTAATGTTCTTGTACATTTGCATCACTTTTGCTCTTCAAAAATTCAGTCTGCTGATCTATCAAATTTTTTTTTTTTTAAAAAAAGAAGAAAGAATTGGCAAGGAAGTGAACATGGATATCCAATCAACAGCCTACACGAAGAGAACCTACAATATGACAACAAACAGTACACACTGAAATACTAAATCTAGGGCTGAGGCAAAAATAATGTATAATATATTTAGGCAAGGTTCCCTGTTCTTAAACAGAGTAAATAAAAAAGAGTTTCTTAATTAGGCGAATGATCTTTGTATATTTAAAAAGTTTAGAATGTGACAATGTGATCTGGTGTAATTTTCTTATGCTTATCATGTTCTACAGGTCCTAGAAAAATATGTGAAGAATTGGATAACAATTGCTACACCATTCCAGGATAAGTGATGACATACCAGGTGACAAGGATACTAGCTTTGAGATTGCAACTTGATATGTCAATATTTGGAAACTTTGAATTTGAGAACTTTTTAAAAGCATTTTGGAAACTTTTTGGAAACTTTGAATATACTGATAGCTATATACTCGTTATGATTTGGGAATAGTGTCTTTGATGTGTGGATGCCAATTTTTTTCTCTTTAATTTTTAATTTTTATTTTTTATGATTGGATGACATTTAATATTTGTGCATTTTTAGTTGTCCCAACTTTGATTTTTAGCGACGAAAATGTGTTGTAGAGAAGTTTTTTGTCTTTTAGCGACCAAATATTATTGTTGTTAAAAATGTCATTATTTTGTTTTTTGGGCCAAATTGGGATATTTTGTGACGAAGTATTAGTGACTAAATGTTTAGTCTTGTAAAATTAAACATTTTGTGACAATAAAATATTGGTTGCTAATTGTCATTTTCAGCGACACTTTTAAAGATTCGTTGCTAAGGATGTTTTTGGATGCATTTTTAGTGACTTTTTTAGTGACAAATTTAATTTTGTCACAAAAATTATTTAGAGACCAATATAATTATTTTATGGACCAAAATAATTGATCGTCAAAAGTCTTATATATTGTAGTGAATGTTGGACTATTTCTGTAGTAGCAGTTGTTACGCAGTCTTGACAGATGGTGGAAACATCGCCGTTGTAGAGGAAGAGGCTGTAGACTATGTGAGGCTGGTTGAGGCCGGCGGTGAAGTTGGAGAAGCCATTGGTGGAGGTGGTGGAATTGGAGGAAAGAGTTGAGAAGAGAGTGTTGAGGTTGGATTGGTATGTGCTGTTAGTGTAAATGGTTTGTATTTGGGCGATAAGAATATAGGAAAGTTGGGGTTGCTTTGATTATGATGCTGAGCAAGCAAATGCAAACAGACAAAAGGGATGTGGCGATATTGAAGGTTGAGTTCATGGTGAGTTCCTGCACAGCAGTTATTATTGTGCAGTAAAATGGGTTATTTCGATAATGTGAACCGTTTATATTTTAAAATATATCAAGTAGAACATACTAGTAAAAGATTAAATTAATTAGATATTGTTAATCCCTTTATCCACTATTTATTTTAATTCTTTAAATTACAATTATTATTATTTTTGTAGATACAAATATGAGTGGATGAATGGGTAAACGATATCCGATTAATTTGATTTTTTACAGACATGTTTTACTTAATTTATTCTAAAATATGAACGGTTCCAATTATTGAAATGAGCCCCGGAATGAATTCATTTCGCTGCACAACAGTGACTGCTGTACGCCGTACAACAATTGTGGAAAGTTATGAAATCATAGAACAAAAGAAACAGAACAGATTCTTCTATTGATAGCTCTTTTTCATGCACACACTTTACACAAGATAGTATCTATATATATAGATCTAATACAATATTCTAGAATCTCTAACAGCCTAACAGAATTCTAGAGTTAGTTACAACTGCAACACATGGACTGCATAACTACTTTAGTAACGACTGCTTCTGCTTGGCTTGTGGCTGAAGTGTGGTTTGAGCTGAAGAGGTGTGCATATGTAACTGTGGCTGTAACTGTGGCTGAGTTGATTCAGTAGGCTCAACAGTCCCCTGCAAGCTGATGGGCGGCTCAAAGACCATGAGCTTGTCCTTGAGATACTGAAATCGGGAAACAGACAAAGGCTTGGTAAACAAATCAGCAAGTTGATCAATAGTAGGGATGTATTGAACAACAAATTGTTTAGCCAAAATTTTTTCCCGGACAAAAAATGACAATCGATGTCGATATGTGTCGAGCGAGAATGAAATACGGGATTAGATGCCAAAGCCATGGCAGACATATTATCACACCAAAGCACAGGTGTGGTAGATGAAGAGATACCCATTTCAGTGAGCAACATTGTAAGCCAACTAAGCTCAGTAGCAGTATGTGCTAAAGCACGATAATCGGCTTCAGTGGACGAACGGGATACAGTGGCCTGTTTCTTGGCAGACCAAGACACCAAATTATTTCCCAAAAACACACAATAATCGGATATAGACTTTCTATCATGGATATCACCAGCCCAATTAGCATCGGAAAAACCATGGGTTCGTTTGGTTTGAATTTCCCAAAAATTTTTGGGAAAATTTCTCTACAAATGAGTTTTCAGAAAAACTCAAACCAAACAAATTTTTCCAAAAAAATTTCCCAAAACTTGTAAACCAAACAAGTTTTCCAAACAAATCTCTTTCTCATACACATCAAATCAATCACTTTTTCCAAAACTCTCTCTCAAAATAATTTTCCAAAACATCTTTCTAAAAAAACCAAACCAAATAACTTTTCGTACTTTTTATCTCCCAAACTCATCTCCCAAAATCAAACCAAACAAGCCCCATGAAGATCAAAAGTACTTGGAGTGTAGTGCAACCCATGAGGGAGAGTACCCTGCACAAACCGTAGAATTCTTTTAACAGCAGCAAAGTGACCCACGGTAGGAGCATGCATGTGCTGACATGCTTGATTAACAGCCAAAGAGGGATCAGGTCGAGTAATTGTAAGATATTGTAAGGCTCCAACAAGACTCCTATAGAGAGCAGGGTTATCAAATGGAAGGGAAGCATTTGGAGGAGTGCTGGGCTTGACAGATATAGGAGAGGAACAAGGTTTACAAGCAGAAAGACCGGCTTTCAAAAGGATGTCTTTGGCATATTTTTGTTGAGACAGAAAGTATCCTGCAGTAGTAGATTGAACAGATATGCCAAGGAAATAGGAAAGATTCCCTAATTCCTTCATAGAAAAGGCAGTATGCATGTGAGTGATAAGATGCTGAATATGAACCAAATTATTTCCAGTAAGCAAGATATCATCAACATAGATGAGTAAGTAAGTAACAGAGGTAGAAGTTCTTTGAATGAAGAGGGAGGAATCACATTTACTATTGACAAAACCTTGAGAAAGTAAGAAGGTAGAAAAGGTGGAATACCAGGCCCGGGGAGCTTGTTTGAGACCATATAAGGCTTTGTGAAGTTTGCAAACATGAGAAGGACAGGAAGAGTCTACAAAGCCTGGAGGTTGAAGCATGAATACTTCCTCATCAAGAATGCCATAAAGAAAGGCATTGGAAATATCCAACTGCTTAAGAGGCCAGTTATGATGAAGAGCAAGACAAAGCAAAATGCGAATAGTAGGTTGCTCAGCAACGGGGCTAAAGGTTTCATGAAAATCAAGCCCTTCCTGTTGTAAGTACCCTTTGGCTACTAAACGAGCTTTATATCGGGCAATAGAGCCATCGCAGTTTCGTTTCACCTTGAAGACCCATTTACACCCAATAGCAGTTTTAGTAGGTGGAAGAGACATTAAGGACCAAGTGCGTTGTTTTTGCAAGGCATGAAATTCCTCAAGCATAGCCTTATGCCAGATGGGTGAAAGTAAGGCTTCCTTGTAGGAAGGTGGTTCTGAATCTGAAAACAGAGATGTAGTTGAGGCTAAACAATGAGGTGATACAACAGATTTGGATCGAGTGATCATAAGATGGATATTAGAGGAAGCAAATGGGACATGAGGTAGTTGGATAGCAATGGATTGAATGGGAATGGAAGATAGTTGAGGAGAAGAAACAAAAGGAAGAGAGCCAGAGGAAATTTGAGTTTGGGTCGGAGTATGGATATGCTGAGATAAATTCTGATGCTGAAGCTGTGATGGAGAGTAATGAGAAGCAGATAAATTCTGATGCTGATGCTGTGATGGAGAGTAATGAGGAGCAGACTGTGAAGTCTGCTGAGGCTGTGTCTGAATATGTGCCTGCGGATTCTGTGCATGTTGCTGTGTCGGAAAGTGTGGCTGAAGATTCTGAATAGGTGCCTGCTGCTGATTCGGTGCATGAAGCTGAAACTGTGCTGACTGATTCTGTGCCTGTTGAGGTTGTGCCTGTAGAGTGGGTGCTGGAATCTGAGATAAATGTGGCAGATTCTGGGAATCAGAGTGGGACTGCTGGATCTGTGAAGTAGACTGTGGAATGTGGAGCTTGGACTGCACTGGAGAAATATGTGTCACGACCCAAACCCGGCCCTATGGGTTTAGCACCGTAACCGGCCAGTAATCCGAGATTACCGAAGCCCTGCTTAACAGTAGTACAGTAAAACAGAGTTCAGGGCCTGGCGGAAGCCAATACAGTAAGTAAATAATGTCCATTGAGTTGTGACAGTCCGAATGCCAAAAAGATCTTTCATGCATTCATACATACAAACAGTACAGTCTATACAAAATTTACAGTCACACAGTACAGGGACCTAATCCCTTGATAACAGTACAGTTAGTAGCTGACAGTCTATACAGTAAACCAAACAGTATGGAGACAGACGGGGGAAAGAACAAGACACCCCAAAGCCATAACATGGCAACTCGGAACCTCGCAGTGAGGCACAAAGGCTGGCTTGACAAAACTGGAGTCTAACCCACGCTCCTAGCTCCGATCTGGTGGCTGAGCACCTACATATATATAAATAGTGAGCTAAAGTCCAATGAATAACATAATGCGTAAAGAGGTTAAGAATGAAATGTCCTCACAGTAATGAAAGCAGTTCATTAAACAATACTTCAGTCTTTCAGTCAGTACAGTTATTCAGTCATATGTGGTACATCCATTAGCATAGCAGTAAACAGTAGGTCTTAAAGACCGAACAGTAATGATGGCCATCAATCAGTAAACAGTAGTGGTTCCACGAGGGAATCGACAGAGATCTCTGTAACAGTAACAGTAACAGTAACAGTAGATGCCAAGGATGCCACAATACAGTTTAGAATATAGGACATACATTCATTCAGTAAACAATATCAGTTCCGTAAACAGTTCAGTTCAGTATTCAGAAGATAATCATTTCAACATATCTTTACACAATTGTTACTCACAGAGTTTGGGCTACAGTAAGCTAGAGCGCGTCTCCCCAGTCGCCAACCCTACACAGTTAACAGATTGAACACACACTAAGCTACACAGCTAGGAAAGATAACAACTTAATCCCTAATTTGCCTCTGTGTGTTCTACATCTATATCCTCCATAAGATGTCTTAAACTAGGCCTAGGAATGCCTAGAATGGGATGAGGATGCAAAGATGTACTCAAAAAGCAGTTTCAGAATTTAGCAGAAAAACAGAGTCCTG